GTCATTGGATAGAAAAGTAGGATTAGGCAGAATCCAGGGAGTGAGAGATGCTTGCAGTGGAAAATGGACTCATTAACCAATCAGAAAATAACTGATTTATTATGTATTCAAGTCATGCTCAACAGAGCAGATATGAATGCAACTGAAATTTTCTACACTTTGATAAAAACTTATGCATCGTATTAAAATGATGCTTTAATGAAAAGAATAGGAAACTTCCAAAATATACAAGCAACATACATGTTACTACCCATCTCATGCTTACTGATCCCATCTACCAGCCTCGTTTTAAGATAGGGATGCATCAATTTTAGGGGACTTTGGAGGGCAGTGAAGGGGAAAGGTCAACTTGAGCAATGTGATGCTGTGAAATCCAGCCAGAGTTAACCAACTTGCTTTGAAGGAAATGACTTCACGAAGATGAGTTGCGACCTCAGCAAGTCTACGTCACTAGAGATGCAAATATCGATCACGTGGAGCCACGTGAAGGGTGTTTGAATCATCTTTTGGGAAACTGGAGTCCATGGCAGCCATCAACGCCTTGCCCTGTGCTTCCCCACCTCCAGCCCTTCAGGAAATACAGAAACACTCACCATCTAGAAAGCACCACCGTGGAGAGAGTCTCTGAGCTGAGAGTGCCCTGGGGAAGGAGGTTTCTTGGTCCTGAAAGAGACACAAATGTCCTCATGGCTCCATCTGAACGGCTCGAGGGACCCCTTGATCAACAGACATGCTACCACAGAGCCTATTTCTAAGAGCGAGCATCCCTTTCTAAACAAAGCACTAGTGAGAGACCAAATCGCATCTTTTTTTACTAGAAACAGAAATAGGGGCTCTGCTTTGAAATGAATTATTTCACATAGAACTTTATAAAACAATCCCCGCATAAAATTTGCCAGTTTTCAATTATTCCATTAAATACTCATAAATGATAGAATTTGGGACTTTTACTTCCTTTGGGGAATTTCTTTCGCTTTGTGAAGCTGGGGAACCAGTAGCAGTGGGCTCTCATTTACATTTCGGTTCTCCATATAGGTATAAAAGTTTTCCTTACTAAGAGAATCTCTGCCACTGATGATTTAAAAAAATAAATAAAAAGCACATTCTACTTTACATCGCATGAGTTGAAGCATTCTAGCTCTGGCTCATAGTGAAATTGAACTTGCTGACAGAAATAGGACAAATGAGGGTGGAGGGGCAGTTTCTGTGGGAAAGATACTGGGAATTTGACCCTTATTAGGGATTTGAGATGTCTGAATATAGGGAACATCCTTGGAAAGCAGCTGGGCGTGGATGATCCTGTGTGTACAGAGGAGGACAGGAGAACGAATTGGGAATGACATAGACAGAATATGAGAGCCACGCAGAAATTGTATCGACTTCCTTGAGAATTTAACCAATACTCCCTGCTGCGTTACTTGTGATCAGGCACAGCCTATGCTTAACTCAGTGGTTCTCGAAGTGTGAACCTTGGAACACCAGCATCAGCTAGGAACTTCTTAGAAATTCAATTCCCAGGTGCCACACCACGTTTACAGAAATCCTGAAGGCAGAACCCAGAAATTCATTTTAGCAAGCTTTCCTGTGAGTCTGATGTATGGTAAAGTTTTAGAACCACAGCCCTAACGTTACCATGACAAAAGGTAACGTTTTACTAATAGAAAGCTTCGGTATATGGAGTTTTTAATATGAGTGGGTTCTGTAAATTAAATTGATAGAGGAAATTTTCGTCTCATTGAGGACTGGTGCCAACATTTATAATTACAGATATAGAATTGATATAGCTATGGATACAGAGATAAATACATATTCCTCTTTTTTTTTTTTGGACTGGCTTTGCCACCCTCCCGGTTACGCTAAAAGACATCTTGACATGTGCTCAGTACCTACTAATACGAGACTTACATTAAACATTTTGAGAATTATATTTTGACACATGGGACATCTTGTTTTAAAGGAACTCAAGGTTCTTAATGTATTTTTATAAAACATATAAAGCTACCAACATGTCTGACATGTAATTATAAACCAAAACATTTGAAAATTATTTGAAATACTTAGTAGCAACCATGAAAACTAATAAATAAAGATATTAGATGGAAACATGGCTATCTTCTCCATAGTAAAGGGACTTAAACACCAAGGCTATTTTCTGAATTTCGACGTCAAATGTGCTACAGAGACCACCATGAAAAAATAGCCCAATTTCCCTAGGTAAGAATCAACTCTGAAAGAATGCAGAAATACTTGCTTTATCATTTAAAAAATCTAAAGATTAACAACGTTGTTGCTCAAATATTCAAATTAGAAAACATTGGCTATTCTTTGGTTTAGTTTAATTAAATGTGGATTAATATACTGCCTCAGCTACATGACTCACTTCCCCACAGGCTGGTAAAGTAATACTAATATAACGGTATATACCTTTTTATGTGCGAACATCTTCGTGTCTGGAGAACGTAATGCATGCGCCTGACTTTTATTTGTTTATTTTGCCTATTTTCTGTTCATGTATTTATTCTCACCTTGATCCACAAAGCGTTTACTATAACTCAACTTCCTTAAAGAGATTTTATTTAGAGAACTTTATCGGTTCGCTCTGTGAAAACACATTGGTCGCCGCAGAGCACTTTAAAACACTTCAAATACATTCGAGTGGGTTTTTAAATAGGTCCAGCAATCCTTGAACTCCCTGAAATTTCATGCTAAATTTGGTGTCTATGTGTCTGTGCTTTTTCCTAAATAAAGGTGCCAATTTTTTTTCTATAAATTATCAAACCCCAAAAAGGTTAAAAAGCTACTAATGCAAATAATCAAAAATTTATGTCAGAGACAATGCAACAAAATGAGATTCTAATCAGTAAAATGCCTGAACCATATCCAGACACACAAAAATAGGAATTACTATTTCAGAGTTACTGGTGATTGTCGAATCAGACAGTGGAAGCTCCCTGAGCTCATAGCTATTCTCTGGTAATGGGCTAAATTCAGGCCGATTTCTACAGAGGAGGCAATGAACTTTTTGCTGATTTCCATCCATGGTCTCTCGCAAATGTTTGTTTTCAGCCCTTTAAGTAAATACTGTAAATTCTTCTACTTAAATGTTTATTTTTTGAAAAACAGACAAACGGAACATCTATTTATACAATTAGATTGCCTAAATAATTGAAGTTAAACAATACTTCACTAATTAAAGACACAGGAATCTCACGAATAAAAAAATTATTGAAAAATAATGAGATACTTTCCTGGTCCCATTTGAAGATTAATCTGCAATCTTAGGTGGCTGATTAGAGAAGTACAAGTACAGCCCTAACTTCTCTGAAAAGACTTCCCTGAACTAGGTTTGCATCTTCTCCCTCCATTTTGGAAGCTTGCAACCTTATTCATAAAAAGAGAAAAAAGGAAAAAAAAAAAGAGTTTTTAAGTGGACAGTTACTAGCATAATGTGGTCTTATGTTAAAAGTCATTTGAATTCCAAAGGAAAAAATGTAATATTTTTTTATTACGTCTAGGAAAGATTGATAATGTAATGCAATTAAATTACTTATTTAAAAGTTTTACATATTAAAAAGATATGATATATAAAAGTGTTGAAGTCACAACAAAATTTTCTCCTTGGATCTAATCTAGTCCACACATACACATGCAGATGAAAGGGTCCCACCTGCTTTAGGACCCTAAAAGCTAGAGATTTTCCTGAAATCAGTGTTAAAATGATGTTTCAATGCAGCAGATTGACAAAACATACCAGCAATCTCTAAGAAACTAGAAATTTAGCTACTAGGCACAAGTAGGTGCTAGGACTAAAAGATCTGAAGGAGAAGAACAGACTAGAAACAGAGTATTTGGTTGCGGGTGAGGTTGCTGTATTTCACTTGAGTTGAAAAACTGAGCACAAACTTAGTTTTAGTGAGAAAGTCTGCTTCAAAAAACTGAAATTTTTGTAGGATGAGATCAGATGAATAAGAATTGATAGGACAAAATTGTTCCTGTCCTCGAAGTAGTATTTAAACATCACAGAAAAGACAGATTGATGAACCAGAAGGCAAATGCAATAGATCGTAGGTGACTCAGCCTCAATTAAGCAGCCAGCCCAGAGGCAGTGGAATTCTGTTTGCCAAGAGCACCAGCTCTGAGCACGGGACAACCCCCGCCCCACTCACTGTGACATTCCAGGCGAGTTCCTTATCTAGTCTGTGCCTTGGATGCCTTGTTTGTAAAATTGGCGCCCATAGTATCTACTGTAAAGGGCTTTTATTTTATTTTATTTTTTATTTTTTGAGGAATAAATAAAATGACAAGAGAAACGCTTACTTAGCCCTTGAGCTGGTACTTGTGGACATGCAGATATAGTGATGCTGGACAAGTAACACACGGGCAGCTGGGACAAAATTATTTTACCTGAAAACAATTTTGACCTTTAATTATACTAGGAGCTCACAGGTCATAAGCCATACTTCAGAGCAGATCATTCAGATAGTGCTATAGCGGCACAATACTATTTTATCCGTAAATGCATTTGGGCTCAGATTCTGGGGTTCAGAGAAAAGAAATAGGACAGATTTGTATGAGTGAATACGAAAAAGAATGACATCACACAAAGGCCGAAATCACCCCATTTTTGGTTTGGGGTTTGTCCTAATCAGCAATCTGATGCCTCTTTTCACAGTATTAGAAGCTATATACTTGTCTAAAATTCAGGGGATTGTTTTCAAGGCTGAATGTCTTCTACCATCAAAATCAACATTTTTCAGAACCCTTTATTTTACTGCCCACTCCCCATTCAATAATATTTTTATTCACTAGTTACAATGCTTACTAAGATATTTGCTTAGTTTCACCAAAATTGTTATCTTTCCATTGGCTGATTTGGGTTGTCAGTTGTCACACAGCTAGCTACACATTATTTTCATCCCTATGACATGATTATGACCAATCTTTTCAACAGGTACTTATTAAAGCTAATGAGGAACAAGGCACATGATTTGTAAGTCACAAAGGACAATGAAGCATCGGCCTTGTCCCCAGAAGGTGTCCAACACTGTGAGCCATCTGGGGGCTCCCCAGTCCCTTCCTTGTTCCCATTTTTGGAGTTGTGATATGTCTGATTTACCAGATTTCAACTTCTTTTCCCAGGGGGTGGCTATTCTCATTGCGATTTTCACTTACTTCTTGCCTATTGTCAAAAGTCATCGATTTCGGGGCAATGATTTTGAGCCAGCTGCCCTAAGAATCAGAGTCTGGTAATGAAAAGAGCAGGAGACAGGAATTGTTGGGGAAGCTAATGGAAGGCTCAGCTCACATTTAAGAAAATCCTTTTCCTTTCAAGTCAAGTTTGGGGCTAACGCTGAAGAAGTTTTCAGTGTCCTGACACTGATGTATAGCTAAGCTGTGCCGAGAGGCACAATCCTAAATCATACGATCCATTTACACGGAGGCCAGTTGTCATGATGTCAAATAGAGCAGCAGGCTGCTGACTGTTCTCCTCCTCCATTCCATTACTACGTTAAGGCCTCTGCCTGTAGCTTCTGCCCTGACTCATTTCCATTGTCTGGCTTTAAAGTATATGGAACAATAATCTACTCAATGAATACCATTTTGGTGACTGGCAATCTCTCCTTCCTTTTCTTGTATTTATAGTATGCTCCTTTTTTGACTTC